ACCCCCAACCCGGCACAACTTCCGAACAAGCCTCCGCGCCCCGGAGGCGTTTCGGGGCGTTCCTTCCGTCCCCGCCGCGCCTGCGCACTCTCCCCAGGCGCGTCCTCTCCGCGTCGACGCTCACCCCACTTCCGCCGCTGTGCGCAGGCGCAGTCATGACTCCTTAAGGCTGGTGTCCTCTTTGGTTGCTGGGGCGTTCTTCTTGGGCAAGGCCAGAGTTGGGCCGTGTGCCCGGTGGGGGTATCCACGGTGATAGTCACAGAGGCACTGTTCAAGGACTTGATCCCTGGTTGGGAAGAACTCAGTGGAGTGGGCAAACAAGCTGAAAAGGTTGATCATTGCGCGCTCTGTTTGCTCTGGGATAACTGAGGAAGCCACCAAGAGGAGCGTTAACGCAGGAACGAGCTAATCGGAAGAAGACAGGGAAGAACACTCAAGCAGCGCAAAAACCCTGAGGCATGAAACATCTTGTACCTTTTTAGGAGCTGCAAAAACAGCATGACTGGAGGGAGAGTGCAGTCCTCTGCGTGTCTGGATGAAGGGTGGGGCACAAGAGGTTGGGATTTGATCCTAAAAGCCATTAAGTTTGAAAGCAGCCTAGTGACCAATCTGTAACTCACCAACTAGTGAGTAATAAAGATTTGAACCAAGACGAGGGCTGTGGAGAGAGAGCTGGGAAATACTGGGGTCAAGGGGTGGAATCAACAGGACTTTGGGAGGGTACAGGAAAGTGGATTGTAGTATGATTCAATTGTAGTATGCTTCTGCTTTTGCAAGCAGAGCACCTGGAATTCAACAAAAAATCAGAAAATAGAAGAGGGAACACTCCCAATCATTTTATGAAACAAGCACTCCCTGTTGCCAAAACCAAAGACATTATAGAAGAAAAAAGAAAACTTCAGGCTGGTATCCTCATGAACGTGAACGCAAAAATACTTAACAAAATATAAACAAATCAAATCCAGGAATATATAAAAAAGCATAATACATCATGAACAAGTGGGATTGGTCCTAGAAATGCCAGGTTGGTTTAAAACATTCAAAAAATCAGTAACTAATTCACCATATAAACAAAGGCAAAAAAAGCTGGTCCTCTCAATAGATAAAGAAAAAGCATATAGCAAAATTCAATACTCATTCATAATAAAAAAAATTCTCAGCAAACTAGGACTAGAAAGAAACATTCTTAAGAAGACATCCATGAAAAACCTACCACCAACAACATACTTAAAGGCGAAAGACTGAATGTTTCCCCTAAGATGGAAAACAAGGAAAGGATGCCCACTGTTACCACTTCTATTCAACATTGTACCTGAGGTCCTAACTAGAGAAAATAGGCACAAAAATAAATAAATATACAAATAAAAGGCACACAGATCAAAAAGGAAGAAGTAAAACTGTCTTTATTCACAGATGTTGTGATTTGGGGTACAAAAAAGCTACTGGAACTAATAAATGAATTTAGCAAAATCAGAATACAAGGTCAGTATATGAAAGCCAACTGTATTTCTATATACTAAAAACAAACAATTAGGACATGAAATTTTGAAGTATATACTATTTGCTATAGCATCTGAAAACATGAAATACATAGGAATAAATTTAATAAGAGATGTGCTGGATCTGAACACTAAAATCTGTAAAACATCGCTGAGAAAATTAAAGATCTAAATAAATGAAGAGATTACAACGTGTTCATGCATTGGATGTCTCAAAATCGGGATGACACTTCTCCCCAAATTGAACTATGCATGCAACAGGATCCCAATAAAATCCCAGAAGGCTTTTTCTTTTCTTTTCTTTTCTTTTTTTTTAGAAACTGGCAAGCTGATTCTAATATTTATAAGAAAATGCAAAGACTCTGGAAGAGCCAAAACAGTTTTGAAATAGAAGAACAGAGTTGGAGGACTCAACTACCTGATTTCAAGATTTACTATAATGCTACAGTAGTCCAAGACAGTGTGGTATCAGCACTAGGGTAAACAGACCAATGTAACAATAAAATCCAGAAATAGACCAACATATATGGTTAATTGATTTTTGACAAAAATGCCAAGGTAGTTCAATAGAGGAAGAATAGTCTTTTCCAAAAATGGTGCTAGAGGAATTAGATAACCACTTAGGAGGAAAAAAAGGAACGTCGACCCTTACCAAACACTATGCACAAAAATTAACTTCAAATGGATCACAGTTGTCAAAGTAAAAGCTAAAACTACAAGGCTTCTAGAAGGAAACAGGAAAAATTTTAATGGGTTAAGCAAAGATTTCTTAAAATACCAAAAGCGTAAGGCATAAAAGAAAGAAATATTTGACTTCATCAAATTTTTAAATTTCTGCTCTCCAAATGATACCATTTTTTAAATGAAAAGACAAGCCATAGATGGGAGTGAAAAATCTTTGGAATACGTATACTTGACACAGAACAGGCATCCAAATATATATAAAGAACCACAATTCAATAAGAATAACTCAATTTTAAAATGAACAAAATATTTGAACAGGTATTTTTGCAAAAGAAGATACACAAATGACCAATAAACATTTGAAAAAATACTCAACATCATTTGTCATCAAAAAAAGATAAATAAAAACCACATATCACTATATACATCCACTAGAATGGCTAAAATTAAGAAGACTGACAATGCCAAGTGCTGACAAAGATGTAAAGCAACTGGAATTTTCATACATTTCTGGTAGAAATGCAAACTGGTACAGGAATTTTTTAAATCGTTTTACAGTTTCACATAAGTTTAATGCACACCAAATGATCCAGCAATTCCACTCCTAGGTATTTATCCTAGAAAAACTAAAACATATATCCATGCAAAGACTTGCTCTCAAATGTTCATAGCATTTTTATTCATAATAGTCCACAACTGGAAACTACCCAAATATCCATCAACAGGTGTTATCAAGTCAGGGATGTAGCACAAGGAATTGGCTAATGCAATCATAAGAGGTGGCTAGGCAAGTCTGAGATCGGTAGGACAGGTTGTCAGGAAGAGCAGGCTGGAAGCTCTCTGGCAGGAGCTGAAGCTGCAGACCACACGCAAAACATCTTCAGGGAAACTTCAGTTCGGCTCTTAAGGCCTTTCAACTGATTGGATCAGACCCACCCATGGTATTGAAGGTAATCTTTACATAAAGGCAACTGACTGTAGATGTTAATCACATCTACAAAATACCTTCAATAGCAACTGCCAGATAGAAGGTGTCAGCCACACCCTCAGTTTGATTGAATAACTGGGTGCAATAGCCTAGCCAAGCTGACACATAAAACTGACTAGCAGGTATCTGGATATACACGTGTGGCGTACTACTCAACAATAAACAGAAACAAACTACTGATACAACAACTATGGATAAATAAATCTCAAACACACTCTGCTCAGCAAAAGAGGGCAGACCAAAAGACCCTGTATGATTCTACTTATATGAACTTCTAGAACAGTGTGTACTAATCTACAGTGTTAGAAAACAGGTAAGTGTCTGATGCCAAGTAGACAGTAAGGGGAGGATATTCACTGCAAAGGGAAACGAGAAAATTTGGGGGAGTAACAGAAATTGTAACTTGGCTGTGGTGATGGCCACATGGTGTATACATCTGTCAAAATTCAAATTATACACTTTAAACTGGTACATTTTTGTATATGAATTATTGCTCAATACAGCTGGTATTTTAAAAAGAAAAAAAAGAAAAAAAACTGCTTCCTGCACAGCAGAAGCTCCAATCAGGGTTGCAGAAAGATAAATCCAGTTCCTCCAGCACCATTTTTGGAAAAGACTATCCTTTACCTCGACACCTTTGTTGAAAATCAGTGAACCTTATATGCAGGTGAGAAGTTTCCAGGATGGGAATGATGGATATGAATGCAATGAGAGAGATTCCTGGTTATTTCTGTCTCCCAAACAGAGGTGTTACTTGAGGGCGGTGGTCAGCTGAAAACCTTCCTCCTCTTCACTACCCCCCACCCAAACAAACATTTAAGGGCATCACTGTGCTGTGGGAACTGCTGTTTTTGAAATGACGCCCTCGTAAGGTAACTCGCAGTGCCCCGTGGTGTATTCCACCCCTTCCTAGCCTTGGGAGAAGTCATCCTTCTGTAAACAGGGCTCTTCCTCTCCAAGGACCACAGCCCTGAGGGTCAGGCCCTCTGGGCCTGGCACGAGGCCCACACTTAGAGGGTAGGGAA